GATAATTATAATTAAGTGATTGTATTGACGAGATTGTGATCACATCTTATAGTCGACCGCTTTTTCAAACAATTCCAACAAACGTTTCACTTCTTTTAACTCTTCACTTAATTTGGCGATCGGTTTCATCGATTGGTTTAATTCTTCACATTTAGCCATCAATTGATACATAGACTGAAATAATCAACTTTTAATTAAATTCAATCAATAGTTTCATAGAAAACATTACTTTTATATTGGAATCAATGACATCACAGGTAGTGCTAAGACATGTCTCGTAAGTGGAAATGCATTCAACAGTCAAAGACGTGATCTGATCCACAAATATAACACTTTTAGAGTAATTGTTATCAAATATATTAACTATACATTACATTATGAGTGGAGTCAGAGATGTGTCTTAACATTGAGTTTATATTATTTGACAAAAGTTTTGACTGCTTTTCCAATTCATTCAATAATTTAAATTCAATTCTCTCCGAGTGTTGCGACAAATGATCTAAAATGACAAACACTTTAGACATAAGTATGACTTGAAATGCGACCAAACCTTCGATGTCAGGCGAAGAAGTGCTGTGTTTAAGTTTGTGCTGAAAGTCTTGGGCCACATATGAGACCATATGTCCGTCATATGAGACATAGTCTGGGATCTCATTCACGTCTGAGTGATGGCTAGTGTTTGGCCTCACGTTTTCGGTGTCATAACTGGCTTTCGTCCGTTCCGTCCATTTCACTATCGATGACGACAATTGTGGTAACGATAGACTCGATGACAACTTCTTCTTCAGCTGTTGGTCGCTATCGCATGAACTCAAGTCTTCGGCCACTTCTATGTCTGTTTGTTCATCACTTCCAGAGAATGAGATCTCATTATAAGACGATGTCATCAAATCGTTGCACAATTGGTCGCAATTCTCTTCATTACCACTCAATGGACTGACTGTCGACTCGTTGTCCTCCTCTTTGGTCAACGAATTGGTACTCATTTTGCAAAGTAATCAACACTTCCAACACATCCAACACTTCCTAACCATTCATTCACTCAATCGTTGTTTACATTTGTTTTGACGTAAACTCAAAAACTAATACAAATTACGTTCACTTCAAACACTTTTTACACAACTTTTTAAACACTTTTTAATTACTTTTAATTAACATTAAATGAATTAAGTGTTGAATATATCAACAAATTTGACATTAAATACATTGAATGTGTTGTCAATTCATTTCGGTGTTAATCATAACTTGAAATACAATTATATCGACAAATGATTTGTACATTATTTGAGACATACTTTCAAATGTCAAACAAATGAGTCTTTGTTTACAAAACATTTGAAACACTCAAAAGACTCAGTGTTTTGTCGGTCAACGGATCCCAAGACTAGACATGAGTTCTGTATGTATTGACCATTAAATAAGACAAACAATAAATGTTTATTATATTGTCTTACAGTTAAACCAAAGCAACAACGGCTCAAATGGCATCAAATGGATGTCTTCGTCGACATTGAGTCTAATTAACCGCATATTTGACACCATTTTATTGGTATCCGTCCTCTCGTACCAGAACTGGACGCTTAGCTATTACTTGACGTCATTTAATGGACACAACAGTCTTTGGTATTTCCTATTCTTCGCCGACTTTCTTCTGGCCTTTGTGTTCATATCGGGCGCTGTCCTCGGATGCCGTCATTACCGCAGAGTTAATGTCTTAAAGCGATCGACAACTTTGAACCCGTCCTCAGATGACAACGGATTGCAAACAAATGAACCAAATGATAAGAAACGAGTGAATAAACTAAGAGTTTGTAACATAACTATTCCTCGAGTGTTGGGAAGTCTACCACTTCTATGGATTTGTTGGCTTTTATACACAGTGTTGTTGTCGACCAAAATATTTGTCCTCAATTTGCAGAACATTACTCTCGAGTTATATAAGTCATCCGTAACTCAGGTACGGATCCGATCATTGATTGAATTTGTAAATTGATTTCTAATTAATGTGTATTTCGATGAATGGATAGGACTCTCGAGTGGATGCCGAGCCCCACACCATCCGTCTCTGTCTGGCTCTCATGACTCTTGTATTCATTCTATGGGTTGACATTCATCGCAACCCTAAGAATAAGCTTTCCCTCGACTGCATCAAAGAGTTGGACACAATAACAGTGATTGAGATCTTCGACTCAATCGACTTGTTAGACCTCTTGCTGCCGGACTCTCCCAGAGAGATGTCATCGGGTTTACAACATTCCCAATGGGTTACAGTAGTGGTGTTGATGTTGTCCACAATCAATCTAATGCTTCCGACCACTGGATTATACCGTTTAAGTAAAAGTGATTTCGTTTCACATAAACTCAATCTCCGAATGAATATTTTACACGATTCCCTACGAATACTATTGGTTAATCTGCCGTATCTATTGCTAAGACTCGCCTTTTGGGTCTCTATTAACAAAGAAATCTCATTATTCCTCTTCAAAAACGCGTTGTTCGTCTTCGTCCACATCCGACACATTGTCACTGAAGTCCATGAATACAGAAGTTTAAACAAAGTACTCATTTTCTTATATACTGTATATTAATTATAATTTCTCTAATGATTAAACACTTTGAATAGAAACCCAAAGAAACTGAATTATCATTAGCCGTGGTCTCCGATGAGAACAATTCCCGGAACAATGGAATCGATGATTAATCTCTTCATTTGAATCTCATTAAGTCTGACAACGAATTATTTTTTATAAGATTACTTTTGACGCCAAAGATATCGTGACTATAATTATTAATGCATTTAATGTTATTTCTCAAAAACTGATGGTTAAAAGTGCCAAACACTTAAAGCCTTTACTTGTATTGTACTTATTGTATAGTACTTCCAAATGTACTCTAATTTTTAATATTTATAAATCAATTATAGCTAATAATGTTTGCCTTTTTCATAAAAATGAAACTCATTGTAATTGACACGTCTATTGACTGCCAACTTATTAAATGCAATTTCCAAATACAAGAATAAATAAATATTGAATTTTTATTTAGTCATTTGGTTATATCCTATATAATAATCAATTAATTTAGAGTAACACCTGATTTAATGACTGTTGTTGTTCGGCAGTCAGTCGTTGGTAACAATTTGCAAACGCATTGGCGTCCGACTGTTGAAACACAAGCACTGATATTAGAATATATATTCAATTAATTGGTTAATAGACATTACTTTTACGAATTGAAGGTATGAAATCAATTTCTGTCCCAAATCACTATTAGAATCGATGGCCATTCGGGCCAACACTTCGGCAATAACTGCCACAATATGCGGTAAATTGCTATTATTTGCACCCATTATTGTCGGTTGGTTTCTACATAATAAAAACGCGATAAATTAAATAATTTACATTCATATTCAATGTATCACTTGTTTGCATACCTTTCGAGTAGACAGTATAGGAAGCCATAGATGTGAGGAATCTCTTCCTCGTCTTCCCAGACTGGAAGCCAACTCAACCAAACCGGAAGAATCGCCTCCACGTCTAACTGTGTATTCATTCAAATTAATATATCATTAATCATAAGAGAATCGTATAAATACTTGAGTGCTGTTAAACTGCAAAATCTTAGTGACGGCCGAAATGGCATTTTCAGTGGCCGTTATATTCTCAGCCAATCGTGCGTTTGGATCGCTTATCATACGAACCAATAGTGGAATATATTCTATACAACAATATTAACAATTTGGTCACAAAACTAATTGAATAGATAAACTAATATTGCGTGACTGACCGGATAAATGCTTAGCAAATGTTGGTCCTCCATGTTTGCCCAAAACCCCTATACCATAAGCCGACGCCTGTCTCACCTCAGAGTAAGTGCTTTGAACTCCAGTTGACAAAAGGGGCAAAAAGAATGCCTCGTATTTCACACAATATTGTTCGCCGTGTTCTATAACGTCGTCCATAACACAAACAGCCCATTGCAGGTCAGTATAGGGTCTGCCCTCACACTACACACCAAACAGTATTTAGTTTTATTCATCCATTATTCGGTGTTATTTGTAAATCGTTTAATAACTAACCGCCAGATTAATGAAGTGTTGATAAATTAAATCAAAGTAGGGATAAAATTCATTCTTATAAGCAATGAATAGTGAGTGCAATATATCGGCCACTTTACTCAACACATACACGTCGTCGTCGTCCTTAAAACATATGACAAAAGTGTTTAAAGAATAAAAATAACGAAAGTAATTATGTATTCAATACCTCGTCGACGAGCTCTTCTTCAACGCCGTCGTCGTAGTCCTCATCGTTTCGCTTCTCTTGGCGTAAACGATGTCTTTCGAAGTGTTCCTTAAGATGACAGTCAATAACTTTGATCAAGTCTTGCAATTGACTTTCATTCAAACAATTCTTTCCCAATTTGTCGATACACTATATGATAGAAAATCATAAAATTAATTCAGTTTATCATAAAGACTGTCATTGAATAAAACCTGTGATAATGCAGTCATAAGTTCTGCCAAAACATCCTTTTCTGGTTCGGCTTCAATGGCTTTCATTAATTCTGGAAAAACATAATTCCAGAGCTCAAAGACATACGAATCGCCCCTAACTTTAGCACAATCTAAGAGGAAAGGAAGACTTTCTGCGGCAGCAGTTCTCACACGTATTCATTGAACAATGAGTTAAGGATATAAAGCATTAAACAGAACAACATTCTTGGAATCACAAGAATTCAATAAATATTGTACAATAATTTGGTTATTGAGATCAAGGATATCATCATGAAAGTAGAACTTCAACATCGGAACCATAATCTTAACGGTTTCCTCCACATAATTGGCAAATCCGTGCTTCAATTCGCGCGCATAACAGACCAACATTTGACACGCCGTTGCTTTCTCTTCGAGTCCAACAGTCTTTATGCCAAAAGTTTGCTGAAAAATTAAACAATAAGTATTGAAAAACATTACTTATAAGCGATTAAAACAATACAATTGTGCAGAATATCCCAAAATAATTATAATTCAATTCAATACCTGATCGCCTAAATTAACACATTGCCAGTCGTTGTCGTCTTCAACCACTTTCATGTCGTCTTCTAATCAATGAATAAAATTTAAATAATAGGCAAAAGTAAACCACAAGAGAGACGTACGATCAAGAAGTGCCACTTCTATCTTAATTGCGGCCGCCTTTAGGACAGAGGGCATAACAAATGGCAGGTATGGCTCAAATTGATTGCCTAAGATCTTGCAAATTCTCGCCCACGAAGAGATCATATAAGATAACTAAATGATAAAACATTTTTATTGTTAACTCTTAAGAGTCAATGAGCGAGAGTGAGAACAAACCTGTGGGTCGTCGTCGTCGAGTATGAGTTCTCCGGTTTGGTTTTGTAGCAATAAATTCATTATATCGTTGGCATCCGAACAAAACTATTACATTCAACAAAATTAGTTTCACATTTATTTGAGTTGTATTCAAAACATACTCTTTCACTGCCAACGGCCAAACCTATAAGACTTATGCATTCAATGCATTTGCCTCTCAAAAGTCTTAGCTCTTTGGTCGTCGCGTTTTGTATAATAAATTTCAGACACGGAATAAACCTAACAATAATTAATCATAAATTTGCTCTTAAATTAACTAAAATATATATAAATACTTGTCGTAATAGTTTTGGAAATTTTCTTGAGCTGAATCGGCCAAAGAGGCTAAAGTGACCACAATTTGCTCCAAAACCAGTTTAGATCCCCTTTCCATTAGCTGTTAATTAAATACAAGTTTAATAAGCAAACAAAAACCGATAAATACGGTAATAAGTCACCTCTTTGATCTTTATATTTAAAACTTGTTCAATTTTGTTGACAACACTTTCCATATAATTAACGACAATCTTTTGCGGACACTCTTCGAAGAAGTTCACGAGAGCGGCGCCGGCGTGTGCCTGGACTCGAGGGTTAGCGTAATCATCGAGTAGTATAAGCAAAGCGGGCACTACTTTAGAGTGGAAATTGTTCTCAAATAATGGCGTAAAATCAGTGGCCATTTGTCCCAAAGCATTACAGGCCGCGTATCGGACTCTCGGGTGGGAATCATTAAGGAATGGTATAATTGCTTCAACTATTTGGCTAAGCATTGGAGTGATTTGGTCGTGACAGCCCTCTCCCACCGCCGATATGGCCATCAATGCACCGAATCTGTGCTTCCAATCACTTGGGAATCATTAAGGAATGGTATAATTGCTTCAACTATTTGGCTAAGCATTGGAGTGATTTGGTCGTGACAGCCCTCTCCCACCGCCGATATGGCCATCAATGCACCGAATCTGTGCTTCCAATCACTGTTTTGCAACATTTGAGAGATCGATGTTATGGCCAAAGGAAGCACTGTTTTGCCGCCTATAGAACAGGAGAGTCGGTCTAAACTGCTTTCACCGATCACTGCATTGCTATTTAGTCAACGATATCACAGTATGAATGCATTATTCAATAAAGACATTAATTACAAACCTCTCAGAGTCGTCGTCCTCTTCTTCGTCACTTAAAGACCAGTTCGGGTCGTCTTCCAAATCAGTCATCATTAGAAGCAACTGAGAAACTAATAGACATTCAAATAATAAGTCTATTCCTTATTTTGACCCAAAACTTACTTAAAATCGAGAGATAAGGCGAACCCCTCTTTCGGACAGTCGACGGAGCGTTTTCTGCTAAAGATATGATCACTTCGAGTGCCAAATGCCTCCACGAATCAGGCTTTTCCACATTTGACAAAGTCTTGAGACAAACTTCAATTAAGGCTTCAAACTGTGGTCGAAGTATTTGCGGACATTTCTCAGAGATATCTATAAATGATTTAAGAGCCGAATCGTCGCTTTCGGTGTCAATACATGCGGACATGATGTGAATCATTGGAAGAATACAATCACTCATCTGTTTTAAAACTGATTTTTCTGTTTCGTGAACTAAAATGAAGGCAGAGGTGGCCTTCACTGCCGATATCTTCACCTCTTCGTTAGAATTTTCAC